TCTCCGAAAATCTCCTACCCCATTGACCTCGCCTGCACACGTGCCATTTGTCAAATAAACTCGGCTCAGGCAACAAATTGAGCCCCCCCAGACGTATTTGCATCGAATGATTGCTATCGGGTGTAGTTTTTTAATTGCTGTATTAAATCCGCAAGTTCACTTTTTTCAAGTTATTCCATAAATATCGTTCATTAACTACCGCTATGCCATTTTCCCAACATTCCCTTTAACCCTACCTCATGAAGATAACTCTTTTTTATATTAATAATGTTTCAAATTATAATCACTTTTGAATTCCTTCAAATGCGGACACGCCAAAAATTTTTACAAAACAAACAATAGGATCGCATTAAGCGTTTACTTATGAATTGATGTACCTAATTGTTGAAATAGCTTTTTGGAAGGAAGTATGTAGGGATTCGTCATTGGAAGTATACCAAAATGTCAAGCCGTCAGTATTGAAACAAAAGTATCTTTACCCTGACGTATCGAAATAGAATTTCATTCCTTTGTGGATTTTCCTTTCCTTGTTTGTAATCTCCTTTTTATATCCAGGATTGGGTATGCAAATACTCAATCATAAAACCCCCAAAAAATATACAAAGATCGTCCTTTTTTTCATTTTTTATGTTTCCCGATTTTTTCATTATTTATTGCCACTATTGCCAATGCATTTTCCAACTACATTTCCTTTCTCGGGTCTTCTAGGGGCTGGATACGTCAAAATCTATGCAAAGAAGATTTTCTATGCTACGAAATATAGAACAAAAGAACGGATGTAGCTTCAACTTCCGGTAGATAAACATCGAGCTGTATAATGTCAATTTAATATGTTTGGTATACATTTCTTTTTGTTGTTAAATAAGCGTTATTATTATTAACCAAAGTATGGAAACCCTGAAAAATAAAGTATCTATCTATACCGTAAAATATAAAACGAAAGTATGGAAACACTGAAATATATTATGTAGTATTTATACCCTAAAATTTAGAACAAAAGTATGGAAACACTGAAATATAAAATGAAGTATACATGTCATGTAATATAGAAACAAAATATCGATACAAATGGATTGATATTCTCTAGTAGGGACTAAACTGTCATATGACATTTTTGTAAGGACCTTTTTTTACTACTTAATTTATTTCAAATTGCATAGGACCACACTTGTATTGTACAAAAATTAAATTTCATAAACCACTGGATGTGGTATGAATATGGAAATGGAATTTATCTTCTTGGTGTATATAGGATCAATTTTAAGTTTAGAAACGTAGGCATGAAGGCGCAAGAACAATCCATTTCTCCTTCTGCTTTTTCGTTCTTTTGACCACATAACAAATCTTTGTGGTAGTTGTAAAAACAATAAGATTGTTTCGCTATTACCTTTGAGACATAATCATTGCAGGCAACCCAGTTCTTCTCATCTCCGATTTCTGGAAATTATTACTGAATATTTGCGTGTTAAATGAGTATCGCTGGTTCGATACCTAATTCTTACGCTTACCTTAGTTTCGAAATTCCGATGCCAATATAGTATGCATACCCTTCCCTATCGTTAAAGGAACTGTCGAATTTTAATTTGTTATAATAACCAAGAAAGAAGAATGTTTAGTGGAAATTAGAATAATTTCGAATTTTTAAAAGTGTTTTACCGCTTTTTTCAATTAAGGCTGATTATTTTTCGGCACCACAGGGAACGCTTTCTCAGTCTTATGCGCATATTTTTACATAAGCCTAGCATAAACTATACGTGATAAAAGCGAAATTCACTCTTGTGTTACCTTTGCGCATAAAATCGGCATTTACATGTAATTGAAGAAAATTACAGTATTACTGTAAATGTTTGTGCAGAAAGGAATTCAAATGCCCGCTGGGTTTAGTATAATTTTTTCAGTAATTGATTCTATCCGGTGGTATTGGTGTATCAGAAACCTCCGGGATTGTAATTTTATTTTTTAACCGGTATCAAATCACAATAGGTTGAGTTGTTCAACTATCTTGGATTTTTTGAAAATAAGCTTCTTTAAGTTGACGCAATTGGTTCTGGTATAGTGCAAAAAATGGGTTCAAAAAATGATTCTTCAAACTTGGAGACCGAACTGGAGCAAACTATGTGACCACCTCTCTTCCACTTTATTCTTTCTGGATCAAAAATATGACCCACATTTTATACTGTCGTATCTCGTCGGATTTGCATGCAGTCGTCATAAGCAGGCTATAGCTTCAGAGGCGTATCGAGCGCACTGTCGATAGGTGGCCTCGGAGGACCTGTCTCGTTGAACAAGGTTCATCCTCTTCTTAAAAATATGCCATGCGAGGTTGACGCACATTTACTTTTGGGCGTATATGTCCGCATGCATAAAAAGGTTGCCCAACGTGTTCCACCTAATTGAAGGTTGCTGTCCTCCATATAGAGAGCGCTTAGAAATGTCATCCGATATGTGTTTGACACGGAAGCGAGTATGTGGGACCCCTATTCCGATTCTTGAAGGAAATATGGTTGTTTTATTGTATCCAGTGTATTGTAAGCATACCTTTGCGTTCCTAGCGTGTTTGGAGAGAGGCTAATGTAAGAGGGCTGATGGCGGAATATTAAGTACTCATCGACCCTCGATTAGGTTAGTCATAAAATAAATAATTGTTTTGTAGTACATAGTACTGATAGTTTTGTGCATGTAGCCTGTGTTGAGAGTGATCGTATTTATTAGCGTGAATGTGTAGTGTGACTTGTGCTATGGCGGAATATTTAGTATCCCATCTACCCTCAGTTTGGTTGAGTTGGTGGAGGAATTTCGAGTATTGAGTGAATCGTATGTAAATAGGAAAGAATATTTTTAAGAATAAGTGAGAGTGTGAATAGGTCTAGATTTAAGAATTGTACGCGATGGGTGCTGAATTGACCTAGCTGGACGTATAAGGCCGAGGTCTGACCCCGGACTGCCGACATCCGAGGTGGGTGATTCTCGAAGCCTGCATGTAATTTATCGTAAATCGCTGGAATTACCTAGAAGAGATGGGTTCAATTCTGTACATGTGGGTACATAAATATGTAAAAATTCAAATAGAGAATTGTATTATATAAAGAACGATTATAATTCGGTTGATAAGACTTATAGAATAGTAGAGGAGGGGTTAGAAATAAATATTTAATTATATATTTTTCTTCTATTTCAAAAATTCCCTTCTGGATCAAGTGTTTTTTAAAAATTAACAATTAAGTTAAAATCAACTTAACTCAAAACCCTTCTTTTTATCTAAGATCTTGGTTGAGATTAAAAAGTTGGTGTCACGAGCGGGATTCGAACCCACGACCTTCGGCTCAATACGAATAAAAATCGAAATGTCAATCAAGTCTTTGCCCAGCATTGGTAAATCGTAAGGGGCCGATTCTTCTTCAAGATTAACGCCAGTCCACATGTCGCAATGCCAACCCTGCGGAAACTTAAGGACTTAGGACTTGAAACTTACTGCACCTTACATATTCACCCGACCTCTCGCCTACAGACTCCACTTTTTTAGACATTTCGGTCATTTCTTGAAGGATCAAATTTTTACAGAACGCGGTGAAGCCAAAAATCGCCTTCCAAGACCTTATAGTGAGTCGAAATAAAGATTTTTATGTCAGTAGAATAAAAGCGCTTATTACACGTTAGCAAAGATGTATAAATTGCGATGAAAAATATTTCCAATAAAGTTTCGTTATTTTTTAAAAATTAAAAATAATATGGCTGCTAATAATTTTCAAAACCTGCATTATTTTTACACCAGCCCAATATTATGTAAAGTTTTTACCACATTTAGCAATAAAGTATCATTATTATTATTTCATTGAATTATTCGTTTTATCCTAAGGTCTTGGTTGAGATGAAAAAATTAGTGTGATGAGCGGGATTCGAACCCACGAACTTTGGTTCAATAAGCCGTTGCTCCAACCACTTGCTCGTCACGATAGCTCAAGTGGTTGGTGAGCCGAAGGTCGTGTGTTCGAATCCCGCTCGTGACTTAAACTTTTTCGCCTCAACCAAGACTTTAGATAAAAAGAAGGTTTTGAGTTAAGAACGCTTGATCCAGAAGGGGATTTTTGAAGTAGAAGAAAAATATATAATTAATCATTTAATTTCTAACCTCTCCACTACTCTGTACAATTTTCATCTACCGATTATTATTGTTCTTTATGTAACATATATTTCTCTATTTGGATTTTATGATTTTATATAAGTTCAGATCTGCACATGTTGTACATATTTATTGTTTTATTGTTGAACCTATATTATTGGATCGACAATTCAACTATTTAGACGAAAATGTCCATAATCAGTTTTAAAAAAATTATCTGGATAATTGCTGTTAAGAGAGGTTTTTTAGAAATTTGGTTGTCTTTTATTTTGGTCGTGGGTTCGAATCCCTCTCGTGTCACTGACTTTTTCATCTCCTTAGATGAAAAAAATAATTAATTTCAACAATAAATATAGTCAATTATGACCGCTAAACATATGCAGATTAAGTAGAAACGTTTATGCACAAGGTGAAATTTTTCACTCCATTTTCTTAATTTCAAAATAATTTTCAAAACAAAAGACAACCAAATTTTTAAATAACCTCTCTTAACAGCAATTATCCAGATAATGTTTTTTAGTTTATTATGAATATTTGCGAATAAATAGTTGAATTATCGATTCAATAATATAGGTTCAACTATAAAAAATAAATATGTACATACATGCGCTGATCTGAACTTATGTATTATATAAAGAACGATAATATTTCAGTTGATAAGATTTATAGAGAGTAGAGGAGGTGTTAGAAATTAAATAATTAATTCTATATTTTTTCTTCTATTTCGAAAATTACCGTCTGGATCGAGTGTTCTTTTAAAATTTTCAACTTTTTAAGCGAGGTTCTCGATGTTCCTTTCCCGATTCGAGTCGGAAATCCATAACAGGTTTTCAACGGTGAGGTGGTTTTTTTTTATAGCATCGCACTTCATGCCCACCTGTAGACCTGATACGACATAAACTTCGAAATTCTCGTGTAATGACTCTGACATCCGGGATTCGCCGAATGCCGTGTTAAGGTTCGCCGAATCCTGAGTAGTGGGGATGGGTGTTCGGTTGCTCGCCGAGCAGCGATAGTCAGTGCTCGATCGTTCGTCTAGTTGTCGGTTTCCGTCTTCATCAAAGTGCTCAAATATTCGTTAAGTAGGCGAACTCAACATCCACACATTCGCTGAGTCAACAAGTAAGTATATACATATATTTACTGCTATTTATTTTTCAATAATAAACGATACCCAACTAGTAATAAATGTATGTATTAAAGAACATTCGTTAGGCATGGATTGGCCCAACGAAACAGTCTTGGACTTCCTCGAAATGTACGAAGCTGAACCAATAATTTGGAACGCTTCGCTTCCGAATCACAAAAATCGCGACGAGGTTTTCGACGCGTGGAAACGGATCGAGAGTAAGATGGGGCATCAGTTCTCAGTGACCGATTTGAAAAAGAAGAAGGATTCACTAATGGCATCCTTCAGAACCTGCCTAAAGAAAATCAGGGAGAGCGTCAAAAGCGGGGCACGCGGCGACGACGTTTACAAACCCAACTGGTTTGCCTTTGCAAAAATGGCCGGGTTCCTGAGGGATAAAGACACGCCACGGGGAATTCTCAATTCAGAGGTAAATTTATTATTAATTTCTACTCGCACCATTTAAATAATAATATATAATGAAAGAATTGCCAAGGAACAATTCCACTGCCAACGGAATACTCAGCATATTCGTCCCTAGTTGCTTTTCCATGAATTCTTCGCATAGTTGTCTTGCCGCCAAGAGATATGCAGCATATTTTCATCTTCTTCAAAATCAAAAAATTTAAAAAAAAAGAAAAAAAAAGAGAACACAAGTCATTACCACCAATGCTGTTTTATAAAGATTAAGCTGCATTGGTTCCTTTAGTGCACGAAAAACATAAGCAATTATTCGATATGTAGTTTTGAAACCTTACGAGCCCGCGAAAGACAGTAGTTGAAAATTATGAAAATTGCTCATATTGACCCGGGAAAGATTTTTATTATTATTATTATTATTGAAGAATACATACATATAGGGAAAGCATGTCCAGTATTTAAAAGTCAACCGGCTGGTTCCTTTATATTTGGAATTTTTACATCACTTTTGTCTATGGAGACTATATCCCTTTGTAGGCCCTTTTTCTGGATTGAAACCTCCATTTTATAACCTCTCTAAAAATGACCAACGGATTTAAGGACGTCACAGTCTGACGTTACCTTGGCGCAACATTCGAATTTATTCTCCTACACCTTATTGGAAAATTCAACTGAATTCGAAAAAAAACAACGTTAAAATCTTTGTTCGTCCCAGGTTCTTTTTTTGAGGCAGAGCTTTTATAACGTTTATAATTAAGTCCATTATATTTAGTGGTCTGATTGACCAAATTATGTCTTGATTAATTATTGTTTGTATGTAGGGTCTTATGAAATTAATGAAATTATGAATTAATTATGAAACAACAGGTCACTAAGAAACACACGACGCAAGAATGACACATTTACACAGGACACAAGCACTTTGCTCTGAAGAGGATCTCAAAAATGGTCGGAACGTTGGCACCGTAAAGAAAATGTTTTTCTAAACCCACGTCACACCAGACCACATCTCACGATCTCTAAATAATCATTAATTAACAGTCACTAAACACCACAAATTATTAATTATATACATGGGAACACTATCGTTCAACCTAGTATCTAGTATTTTTTTATATACAGATTTTGGATATACATTAGACATTAACGGCTCGTCTATCTTGAGTTTTTTTTCCTTGGAACATCTCATGTCTTAACTTGAACGATCTATCAATTAATTTGATTTTTATATTGATCTTCATTTGTTTTTGTAAGTCCGAAAAAAAAGTGTATTTCTTCTTGAATTTCTGTATTGTTAAAAGTTTTCGTCATTGTAGCGTCTTGAGAACGACTAAATATACGTTCGAAAGCTCGCCAATAAAACAAAGCATTGCTGTTTATCGATTAATTAATCTTTGTATAAAGCATTGGTTGAGATAAAAAAAAGTCAGTGTCACGAGCCGGATTCGAACCCTCGACCCTCGGCTAAATACGCCGCTGCTACACCAACTCCCCATCTCAACTCGAAACAATCTCAAATTCGAAAGGTGGGGTTGGGATGGGAAGTTGATGTCTGAGTGGATCGAAGTCACGATAGATGAAGTGGTAGAGCAGCGGCGTATCTAGCCGAGGGTCGTGGGTTCGAATCCCGCTCCTGGCACTGACTTTTTTTCTCATCCAATGCCTTATATTAAGATTAATTAATTGAAAAACGTTATTCAGTCAATCGGACCACGAACTCTTAATGAATTGCTGTTTATCTTTACCACAAACCCTATAGCTGAGAGCATTAAATTTTTTTTAAACAGAGTAAATTATGTTTAAAAATTATTAATGTTCTCAATTACGCAACATTATAGGCTAGATTTAATTTTTTTTTATTCCGCATTCATTCATCAATTGATTGAAGGATTTTGTTAAATAAATAACGTATGCTATAATTTATGATCATTATATTTATTACTTTTTGCCTTGAATCTAGGTTCCTCTTGAATAGCATGCTAATTTTAAAGATATGAAATAGTTTGGAAAGAGTTTGACATATTTCGATTCGATTTATGATTCGATTATTGAAAGGAAATGCGTCATGCCATTGGTTTTTCTCGCTCTGAAGATGGTATCATAATTTTCCGATACAGTTCGGTATTTAGATAGTCATCAATTAGTCTCCCTTGACAGTCAAAATCAGTGAATATAAACCATACTTAGTATCTGCTAGAGCTATTAATACTGTGCAGAAGAAATGCTTGTAATTGTAAAAATTCAGTCCCACTGTTGCACCAATGCAGTTGGAAAAATTACACAGCTCGTCATACTTCGTCATACCAACTGATTTTCCAATCGTCCTCTTTGGTCGGAAGCTGAAAAACCACGAGAATAGGTCAATAAATTGTTGAAATTGAGCAGTTTTAATGAAAATATGTGTAGAAGGTAAAATATAGTTACGGGAATAGTTTGTAAGCACCTAATCAATATTTCAGGCCATTCAGTATGAAAATGACGAACGGAAACCAGATCTTCCTCAAAACAGCGACTTCCCGGAAATTAGAGAATTCACTAATGCAAGTACACAAACTGACGGTACGTTTTTTTTTCAAACAGAGTAGTACAAATCAATTTTTCCTCAAATCAGATTGTATACTTTATGTTTCCGTTTTTGTCTTTTAGCCATCGCAATGCCTTCAGGTCCTGAAGACTCTTTTAAAAATCCGCCAACGAAAAAAAGAAAATTCAGCGAAGAAACTGACCTAAGGAAAAAGACGGACAATGGCGATTCAACTTTGCAATCTGCATGTAACAAACCTGCTATGGAAAGAAGTGTGTGCGACATATATGGAGAATTAGTAGCGGCAAAATTGAAAGCTTTGGATGAAAGTCGCAGGGATATATGTATGCATCGGATCGATAACGTTATGTTTGAAATGAAAATGAACACAAGCAAGGCATCTGATAACGATTCCTATAACACCATAAATCAAATGCTTGTTCCTTCCCCGTCAACCACTCATCATTGTTTCCCTCCACAACAGGAATCGTATCAGCAAACTGCAATGACGCAAAGTGCAAACCGGACTGCAGACATTACTACTGCTGATAATAGTGAAGATGTACAAAACCACGGCGTTGCACAAATTTGCAAGAGATGTAATTTGAATTTGAAATGATTTTCTTTTGTATTTTGATCGAACCTTTGTCTATTGTATTCCTTAAAGAATAAATTTACGCTTACCTTAATACAGCCCTTTCGTGCTTGCATACTTCTGGAATTATGTCAGAAATAATTTGAGGCGTCAACTTGAACAAGTAATGAAGTAAGGCTTTTGAAAGTTAATCTTTTTATGTAAGGTATTGGTTGAAATGAAAAAGTTAGTGTCACGAGAGGGATTCGAACCCACGATAGCTCAAGTGGTTTAGCAGCGGCGTATTGAGCCGAAGATCGTGGGTTCGAATCCCTCTCGTGACATTAACTTTTTCATTTCCACTAATACATTACATAAAAAGATTAATTAATTGAAAGAAATTATTTGGTCAATCGGACCACGAAATTTAATGGTTTTTGAAAATTAATCTTTTTATGTAAGGTATTGGTTGAAATGAAAAAGTTAGTGTCACGAGCGGGATTCGAACCCACGATAGCTCAAGTGGTTAAAGCAGCGGCGTATTGAGCCGAAGATCATGGGTTCGAATCCCTCTCCTGACACTAACTTTTTCATTCCAACCAATACCTTACATGAAAGATTAATTAATTGAAAGAAGTTATTTGGTCAATCGGACCACGAAATATAATGGCTTTTGAATGTATTGTCTTCATAAATCGGAGATTTTGGGTACACGTTCGTTTCTTGCAATATCATTTCTCCATCTTTTTTGCTATTTTATCAAGCATAAAGCTGAAATCGTCCAATGACGTTCAACTGAAGTTTTCGAACGTTCCAGATGGCTCTTAAAAAGCCTACCAACATGTCTGGTCCATTATATCTACAAAAAACAAAATCAACTTAACTAAAACTTGTTTTATTGTAGTAAAAAATACATTTGCGTTCCTAACGTATATGGAGAGGGTCTAGTGCAATAGGGCTGATGGTGTAATATTAAATCCTCGACCCAAAATTAGGTTAGTTATATAATATACATCTGTTTTGTAGCGTATAGCACTGATAGTTTTATGAAACTAGCATGTGTTGATAGTGAATGTATTTATTAGCTTGAAGTTTAGTGTGAGCTGAGGGATGGCGGACTCAGTACCCAATCTACCCACAGTTAGGTTGAGTTGTTGGAGGAATTTCGAATATTGAGTGAATCGTATATAAATAGGAAAATAATAATTAAACGATGATAATTCGGTTGATAAGCCTTATAGAGAGTAGAGGAGGGGTTAGAAATTAAATAATTAATTATATACTTTTATTCTATCTCATAAATTCCCGTTTGGATTGAGTGTTCTTTTAAAATTTTTAACCTTTTAAGCGAGGTTAACATCACCTTAACATAAAACCTTTTTATCTGAGGTCTTGGTTGAGGTGAAAAAGTTAGTGTCACGAGCGGGATTCGAGCCCACGACCTTCGGCTGAATACGAATCAAAATCGAATCAATCTAACCACTTGAGCTATCGTGACAAGTGGTTGGAAGAGCGACGTATTGAGCTGAAGGTCTTGGGTTCGAATCCCTCTCGAGACACTAACTTTTTCATCTCCTTGGATAAAAAACTAATTAATATAGTCAATTATGACCGCTAAACATAAATGGATTAACTAAAAACTTTTATGCACAAGGTGGAATTTTTCATACCTTATACTTAATTACAAAATCTCGGATGTTTCACTCTCCCCAGGGTTGACCTGTTAAGGTTTTTGAGTGGCTCAAATTCGCGGCCCTTAATTCGTTACGCTAGGCATGCATGGAACTACAGATATGAATGAATTAATAAGTTTAATTTTTGATTTCTATTGTATAACCTGTTTTTCTGTTCTCTTTCGCATTTTGGCAGTTGTTGTTTCTCCTTTTTTTCCCTTTTTATTGCGTAAGCTATAACTTTTATTTTATTGTGTATTTTTTCGTTTCTGATTGTTTAATCAACGACCTCTGGCAGACGGATCCAAGATCCATGGCCTTAAATGCTTTGAAATCTAAATTGTCTTTTTTCCTTTTTTTATGTTTAATAAAGCATTATTATTATTATTAATAATAATTTAAAATTTCTAAATAACCGCTCTTAACAGCAATTATCCAGATAATTTTATTATTGAATATATATATTCTCGAAAAAATAAATAATTGTAACTCTGTTGATACGATGTTTACTATTTTATGCTTTGGTTTAGTGATACTTTTCTTATGCTTCTTTTTTTCGATCAGTTTTTAGCCAATACGGTCAAAACAGTAACCGCAGGTGCAGCAGTGACAGTTTCACTGTTTTCCATCACGATTATAGGTGTTTTATCAATAAATAATAAAGTTGAGCACTCGAACGGCACTTGGCTAATAGGTGTTTGCTATTTGCGCACAAACTGGGTAGTTATGCAAACCCCGTGTTCACATGGCCACGCTATTTGGCGAATGCCACTGCTGCAATTGGAGAGGGCCATACTCAGTGGAGTGATGGAATTATTAACCCGTCACTGGCAGCTGAGAAAAGACCTAACATGGGCATAGTCAACGAAGACGCCATTTACAGATTATGGAATGAGGAGGAAGAAACAGCCACCCATATCCTCTTCTCTTTTTCGAATGCGAAGCAACGTCTCGCACGCTGACAAAAAAAATTGTAGCAGTGACAGTCAATGACCTAATATTTCTGGGAAGAAGGATTGAGTCAATTGCGCTGAACTGGGGAACTAGGAAAGTACAATAAGCCAGAAGGCTTAAATGCCTAGGGAGAACAAACCCCGCTTCCATCATCATTATCATCGACATTATATAATATAATTAAGTGAAAAACGAGGCTACGCGAATTTTCCATGTGCCGCATAAAAAACATGGTCCTCCGGGCCGGATGATTAACAAAGGGCGAAAAAGAAGGCTTAAGGATAGTCAAATGCATTTTTAAAAACTTCCTTCTGTTCTTTATAAACACTTTTATCATTGTGCTCAAGGGTCAATTACTGTAAGTAGTTTAATCTCTTAAAAATAAAATAAAAATGCTAAAATCAATATAGAATAATTAAAAATTCCTTGGGTTTCTTTTCCGTGACTAGACAACACAAGTTCATTTTCTTTTATTGTTATCGATTTCAGCGTCATCAGTCTCGTTTTCTTTTTGGAAACGGAATAAAAAGTCAGCGACCCAAAAAGAAGAGTAAAACATAAATAATTAAAAATGTTTTCTTTTAATATGGCCAGTCTTAAAATGATTTAATCTCCTTAAAATTATCGCCGTGTATCTTTATCCGGTTTCGAATTTTAATCAAAATTAAAAATCTATTTTTGCGGGGGGGTGTTTTTAAGTGTAGACATTTAAAAAAACCTCCATGTAATTCTGTTGCGCATTTGCTACAAACCGCGTTCGAAATGAGAATTTGTTGTGCAAACATGGCAGGAAAACGTATTAACTTGTCAAATGAAGGGGAAACGTATTTATTCAGGGAGACGGGTCTCAAATCCATTAGTGGCTTATGAACCATTGATCTGCCCCGAGCACTTTACAATATTCCCCCATAATGAATTTGATCGTTTAATTCACCCTAGGAAGCTCTTAACACTTGAAGTAGTAATTTATGCGGAGTAAGACATATAGATAACGTTGAACGTACGGAGGCAACAACCGTGTAGTGTTAATTATGATTTTTTTAAATTCATAAAATATTGTTTTGAAATTATTCTTTGAATATACTGGTTGGGCTTTTTAGATAGACCGGCTGATTTTTCTTGAACCAATGACGCTATAAAAACATAAAATAAAATAATACGTATTTAGTATTTTTCTCTCTAGTTTCAAATGATTATTTGGAAATCGTGAGAAGCGATCTGGTGTGACGTAGGTTTTAAAAAAACATTTTCTTTATCGTGTCAACGTTTCGATCTTTATTGAGATCATCTTCAGGGCTCAAAGTGTTTGTTTTCCGTGTAGTTGTGTCATTCTTGTGTGTCGTGTTGAGAGGGCCCTCACACTTGGTCTACCATTCCTTCAAATGACATTGATTGCCTTATCTTGTTGGACTATTCGTCAACTTCAAATCTCTTATTTTTCTCGAAGCTAAAACTGTAATCCTAGCTACACGAAAACCCTCGTAAAATTATATAATTAATCTTTTCTTATCATGATTTGTTTAATAATCTAGCATCAACATTTATACTCAGCTATATTTTGTATTTTTTTACAAAGGTCATAGAAAAAAATTAGTTATTGTTCTTTGTTTAGAAGAAAAATACAGTTACATTGCAAAAAAGTAAAAACGCGAGGGCACGTTGTTATATGGTCCTCCGGGCCGGATGATGAAAAATGGAAGGGAAGCAAGGCTTAATAGTTTTCACATGATTGCCTTATCTTGTTGGATTGTTCGTTTACTTCAAATCTATTATTTTTCTCGAAGCTAAAATTTTAATCCCAGCTAAACGGAAAATCCCTGTAAAATTATAAAATTAAATTGGTTTTATCATGATTTTTTAATAATTCAGCATCAACGTACCATTTATACACAGGTATATATTGTATTTTTTCTTCTACAGTCAAGTAAGTGTTCTTTATTTAGAAAAAAATGCAGTTACATTGCAAAAAATAAAAACGAAAGGGCACGTTGTTATATGGTCCTCCGGGCCGGATGATGAAAAAAAGGAAGGGAAGCAAGGCTTCAGAGTTTCCACATGTTAGGCTGCTAATCTTTTATAACCTTTTCTTCAACTGATTGACAGATTACCTTATCTTGTTGTACTGTTCGTTTACTTCAAATCCATTATTTTTCTTGAAGCTAAAATTTTAATCCCAGCTAATCGAAAAACCCATAAAATTATATAAATAAACTTGCTTTATCATGAATTTTTAATAATCTAACATCAACGTTACATTTATACACAGATATATATTGTATTTTTTATATAGGTCATAAAAAAATGTATGTATTAATTTGATTTCCTTTTTATATGTGCAATGGGAAAACTGATTCGTCTCACAACCGTCAAATAAGTGTCCTTTGTTTAGAACAGGAAATACAGGCACATTGTAAAAAAAGTATAAACGCGAGGTTGCTATCTGGTCCTCCGGGCCGGATAAGGAAACATCGGTGAAATTACGCAATGTACTAAACTTTTTTGTACTTTATATTTAGAGAGTTAATTTTGTTATTATGTGCGACGAAGTGGACGATCGCGCACTAACTGCATTAGTGCAATTATTTGGGACTGTGTAGTACAATCCTCAGAAAAAAAGGGATCATACCAGCCCTTACATGGTCCTCCGGGCCGGATAGATTGAATTTAATGAATTCAGAGCTTATTGGTGTTTTCGGCCTTCAGACCTAACTGTCTGTTATAGTTAATGATACAAATGATGGAATGAGTTAAATTTATTGCCTATATCTAAAACATTCCTTTTCTTAAAAGAATGTGGAAAAACAGGCGTAATAGTAATAAAAAGGTTAAATTTAAACAGTCAAGGGTGTAGTTTTCTGCAGCGAGAAATTCGGGTCAAGGCGTTGTACTGGGGCAGTGGATCAGCATTAACCCTTAATCAATACGGGCTTTCGCGGATCTTTTGTGGGAACGGGGTTCCGGTTCTGCCTGGAAGGGCGCAGGGGTGGCACCGTGGGCGGATGAATCGTTGCGACCCAACCCCCTAACCCAGTTCCCACCCCTAGACTCTGCCTCTCTCAGACCGGAAGTTGAAAAGTATCGTAATCCCATCCTCATTTGGCATTTTCAACATTCACTTTCTTCATCTCACCTTGGCCTGTAATCGACGAGACGTTCGATTTTTCTTAAAAAATATTAAATGCTGACGGCCGTTTATGTAATTTGTTCAATTTATCACACATGCCACTAAAATTCTATAATAGATCTCTATTAGGTGAAATCTCACAGAAGACAAACACTTGAGCCCTGAAGATGATCTCAATAAAGGTCGAAACGTTGGCACGATAAAGAACATGTTTTTCTGAAACCTACATCACATCAGACCGCATCTCACGATTTCTGAATAAAAATTAAAAAAAAATATATCGCGAATATTTCGAAATTGGTGTACAAATTTAGAGGAACAAGCTCAGAAGCTTTTGTTTTTATATGGGCGAGGTATAAAACATCCGAGTATTTGTCGATTTTCCATTTTTTTTCGTACATCTATTGCAATAAATTGTACTAAACTGCATTTAATGAATGATCCTATGTCACTTTTGGGTCAGACAGCTACATCAAACAGGAGGTCTCTGATGACTTTTCCCCATTTTTTTCATGTTTATTTTATTTGATGGAATTGTCCACATTTTTTCTTCCAAAGTACGAATCCTACCCCTATATTTCTTTCTAATATATCCCACTATATTTTGGCATTGATCTTTTGTCATAAGGCTTTCAAAAATGTGTTTCATTGTTCAACCTTGGTCTTTTGTTAAAATGGTTAGTGAAGAATTCGCCCCAGGGGGTTGACGAAAATTGCTTTTTCCAGGGCCCTCTTCCTGAATTTATACAAGCTGTTTAAAACTATGTTTTGGCATATATTATCGTTGATTTGTTACCAAATAAGTCATTTAAATAAGCAAATATTTATATAAAATCATTAAATTTAACCTCATTGAGCATTTGCTAATCTTGTTATATTAAGTACGTTACATGTAGAACTGTGCGAGCAAATAATATTAGGTTATTCATCAATCTGGTGTGTTTTATTTAAACATATTAAATATGATCAATAGATGTATTAGATTTATGTGTGTGAGTAAGGTTTTATAAATGACACAATCAACAAATAGATAAAAACATTGCTAAATAGTGATCATAGGACTGTACAATTATTTAATGTGCACAGTGTGAGGGGGTGATAAAAGGAATGTATGATCAATTTATTTTTTGATTAGAGGAAGAAAGAGAGATTTGATTTCGATTTGATAAACGATTTATTTTTACAAATGTCGCAGGGTTAGGTCAATTCGACACTTTCTTGCACTCGCCGAGAAACGAACATTTTACAATTTGAACTTACATTTCTTCTAGATGATGATATAACAATAAAAAAATAAGATGAATGTTGAACAGTAATAATGAATTAATATTTATGAAAGGTATTGGACGAGATAAAAAAGTCGGTGTCACGAGCGGGATTCGAACCCACGATCTTCGGCTAGATACGCCGCTGCTCTACCACGTGAGCTATCGTGACTTCGATACACTCGGACACCAACTTCCCATCTCAACCTACAACCTTCGAATTTTCCCTGTTTTTGCCATTTTTCAAATGCCGTGTAATCAGGATTCGATTCTCGGTGACTTCTGAAGTGGCCACGGGGAGCTGTTACTGAAGTTCTATTTCGTGTTACTTATTAAATCCATTATATTTAGTGGTCTGATTGACCAGATTACTTCTTTCAATTATTTAATCTTTATAGGTAATGTCTTGGTTGAAATTAAAAAGTGTCACGAGAGGGATTCGAACCCAAGATCTTCTGCTGCTCTATCACTTGAGCTATCGCGACTTCGGTCCACTCGGAAACTAACTTCCCATCTCAACCCCACCTTTTGAATTTTCCCTCCTTTTTGCCATTTTTCAAATGTCGTGTAATCTGTTTGATTTTTGGCGACAAACGACATGGCCTCGGAGAGCTTTCGTGAAGATATACTTCAGTTTAATTATTAAATCCATTACAGTTCGTGGTCCGATGGACCAATTAACATTTTTCAATTAATTAATATTTATGAAAGGTATTGGTCGAGATAAAAAAGTCAGGGTCACGAGTGGGAAACACAAACTTGAAACTGACTTTTTATCTCGACCAATACTTTTCATGAATATTAATTAATTGAAAAATTGGTCAATCGGACCACGAACTATACTGGATTTAGTAATAATAAATAAATAAAAATTTACATACACTTAACAATAACAAATGAATAAATAAAGAAAATTACATAATTACAAAATTTTCTAACAATGTTATAGTTTACATACATATAAAATTAAATTTTTATCCCTTCATTAAAAACTGTAATAAATCTATTAAGAAACAAATCCTGAAAAGAACTTACAATATACTCTAATAGTTTGCATATTTGACAAATACAATAAATTCAAATATTAATCATTAATAAATTTTTATTAGTAGTTTTACATAAAGTTTTTTCAGAGATAGGTAGATAGATAGATAGATAGAATGAGGGAAAGAACAGAGAAAGAAAAAGGAAGAAAAGAGAGAGAGAGAGAGAGAGAGAGAGAGAAAGAAGGAGAGAGAGGAGAGAGAAAAGGAGCGAATGAGGGAGAGTTTTATATATGAATGGGAAGTAAGAAAATCATACAAAAGAAGAGTGAGAAATTGAAGGTTAGAATGAGAGAAAGAACAGAGAAAGAGAAAGAAAAGATTGTTAGATAGATAGATAGACAGAGAGAGAAAGAGAGAGAGAGAGAGAGAGAGAGAGAGAGGGAGGGAGAGAGAGAGAGAGAGAGAGTGAGAGAGAGCGAATGGGGAGAGAGTTTTCTAGTTTGAACGGGCAGTAAGAAAATAATAAAATATAAAAGAGAAAAAGTGAAAGAAAGAATGAGAGAGACAAAAAGAACGAGAGAGAGAGATAGAGAGGGGGAGAGAGAGAGAGAGAGAGAGAGAGAGAAAGGGGAGAGAGTTTTCTAGTTTGAAAGGGCAGTAAGAAAATAATAAAATATAAAAGAGAAAAAGTGAAAGAAAGAATGAGAGAGACAAAAAGAAAGGGAGAGAGAGAGAGAGGGAGAGAGAGAGAGAGTGAAAGAGAAAGTATTTAATATTTTAACTAATTATTCGATAGTTAGAGTTTTACTGTTGTACTTTTTTCAAACAACTATTATAGCTGTTGTTTTGGTTATAAATTTCCATTGAATATTTATTCTAATTGAAATCTTTGCAGGGTCGGAATATCTTTTTGCACGGTTTATCTCGATAAGGGGAGATAAAAAGACGCTTGTCACAAATTTAACAAAACGTGCATTTCTTCGGGGAAAAAAGTCCAAACGAGAATGATCATAGTTTCACAATGCCGGGAATCGGCCAAGGGCCTAGGACCGACTGTTGACCCCGGTCGATTATTTTGTAATTCCGATAGCTGTAAACGTGCTCTTTTAATTGAGGATGCGGTGAAAGCGGTAATCGACCCCAGGGCTGGGAATTGTTAACGTACCGTCCACCTGCTTCCCAGGTGAGTGTCCATCTCGGCAGCACCTTGTTCTTCAACGGCGGACCTAAATGAGGGTCGCTTTTTAACTATCTGATTATCGATGGTCCTCGAATGAAGATTGTTGTCGGGATCCGTCATCCTAGGCTTTGATCCGTGCGTCAGTCCCCATCTGTCAACTAAAAAGTATTGTCAAAATATTTTCGATTGTGAGATTTCTCTTGGAGGCGGGGTGATTAACCTGTAGTTTGGGCATTTCCGATTATTCTGGTCTGCCTATTTTTTATGTTTGTGTTATTTCGTCAGTCTTCACTTAAAAATTACACGACTGACGAGGTAACAGAACCAACAAGAAAGTGCAGAAATGCACCTGCCCAAAATGGAGAAGATATAAGATAAACTGGTTCATCACCTCGCCGGCATCAAAACGAAATCTCACACTAATAATAACAATAACCGGCTTTCCATAATCATCTTCAATCATTTTTAAAGGCATTGACATAAAAACGCATGCCCACTTTGTTCGCAGTGATCATAATGGCGTCCGTATATTCTCAGTGGGTTCTAATTACAGCTTAGAAATTCTCTGACCCCTCGTTACTTTAATAACGTACATCTGAGAAATAAAATACATGGAAAAACATAAACCAATGGCAATAAACTTACATAAAATATTACGAACCGTGTTTGTATTGGATCATCGTGAAAATTTTATTAAAAGCGTTGATAGTTTATATTTTGTAAATATTACGTCTATTAGGTTTCGTGGTCCGATTGACCAAATAAATTCTTTACAATTAATTAATCTTTAATTAAGGTTCTGGTTGAGATAAAAACGTCAGTGTCACGAGCGGGATTCGAACCCACGACCTTCGGCTGAATACAACGCTGCTCTACCACTTGAAAAATGGCAAAAAAGGAGGGAAAATTCAAAAGGTAGAGTTGAGATGGGAAGTTGACGTCCGAGTGGATCGAAGTCACGATACCTCAAGTGGTAGAGCAGCGGCGTATTCAGCCGAAGGTCTTGGGTTCGAATCTCGCTCGTCACACTGACTTTTTTATCTCAACCAAAACCTTACATTTACCCTTTCATTTGTGAGAATGTATTTATTTGCGTGAATATTGAAGTACGCGTGGGTGTAGCTGTGACGGTATATCCAGTACTCACAGGCCCACCAAATTATTCTAAGTACTTGTTGTAATGTGAGGTTCTAATCACTTTGCCGAGGGCCGTTAACTCGGGGGAATGTATTTATTAGCATAAGTGGTTATATATGAAATTAAGCTTTGCTATGGTATAATTCGGCTTTTTTACCCCTACACCTTCACCTTTTTTCATCTTCTATCTATCTGTGTACCATATTAAGGTCTGCTAAAACTTAGTGGTAGCTTTCTTCCGAAGTTGTCTTATTAACTACTAACAACCATCTCATTTATTTTAATTCTTTACAGATTTTGTGTTGGCTCTTCTTTACATCTGGCTTCCTCGCATCTCAGGAGTCAGTTGGCACACTCAAAAGCCACCTTTTGTGCATAAAGGGTGGAAGGTCGAGAGCGGTTTTCCATTGCTGTAGTGGACCAGGTATGCACATTTACACATGGTTACTATTAACAATAATTTTTTTAAATAAATACAAACTAGTTTTTGTTGCACACTGATGATTTAATTGCTCCAGTTTATTTATGAGAAAAGATTTTTATTCATTTAATCTGGAAAATGATATTTTCATAATATGTTAAAAAACGTATAGGTAAAATACCAGGTTAGATACGTACTACATATCCCTTATGATATTTTTTTTTTTAATATTTAAAAAAATATATTAGGGGCTCTTTTTGGTTATTAGTGTTCTTATTTACCTCTGTGTCTTCCGATCCAATAATAATTTTATGATTTAATTGCTAGGAGGCAGTTAAAAACGTACTTAATCATTATTTTTTGAGTGAATTCCCCCAAAGGGTCCTGTATAATTCGAGTTACTTTTGGTCGGATGTGTTCCAGGGAACGTATTTAAATTGGATGACACAGTGAAGTTAGGAAGACGGTAGAAAGTGAAAGGTAAGTGAGAGGAAAGGAATGCCCAGACTTTCTCTACACTTTCACTTATCCACTTCTCGGCCTTTTACATCACACGCTTTGTCACTTCTCACCGACTCGACCAGTGCTCAGGGCTTTTGAGACCGGCCCAAGGGAAAGAACCTTTTGTTCGGCTTTTTGTCGATTCGGTGGGAGATTTTTTGAAAAACAACCCGATTTGTGACGGTTCGAAAAAACCTGGGATTTGTTGAACAGTCCGTCAACATGTCCTACTTTCATCTCGGGTTGAACGTAATCTTAAAAATGACTGTTTTCCGGTCTGGTCATGTTGTCGGTTTTCTGATATCTCTGGCTTATTGTTTTTTAAAATTAAATTTATATGTTATTTTAAAACTCCAAATACTGTATTAAGTAAATATTTTCTATACACGATGAATTTGCCGTTTGAATCACTTGTAAGATAAACTACCCATTGACAACCATTGAATCCTTGTTTACTCAGTGAGGACTCGCGACGACTCGCTTAAAGGATTTTCTGATAGGGTTGGAAGTGTTGGCTGTTTTCTTAGTAGATTATTGTGGATGCTTAGTGAGCGAAATGTTTTCTAGCTAGTTTTGATGAAATCACGTACAAGCGGGATGCGTAGGTCTGGTATCTGCAGTGTGATATGCAGGGTGACTGGCGATAAGTGTCGAAAATTTCAGGAGGTGTTTCTCCTCGCCATTTGCAACAAAAACTTCCTATAAACCTCTGTCCAAATCTCAACGGTAATGAAGTAATTTCAGGTTTTGGTTTTTTGTTGAATTTTTTGACTTAGACCTACTAAATTGCTCATAAATTTCGGAATTACTGATTGTAGAAAAATCTGGTTTGTGCCACGTGAAAGAACGTTAGATTTGCTGTAAGGATACCTATTTACATTGCAGAATTGATGAAAAAATTCTGCACGAAAAATGTTGAAATTTGTAATTTTTTGAAAATGTTGGATTGGTAACTGTTAATAAACAAACTCATGGAGCTTTGCAAATTCCCTCGAAAGTTCCCCATTCAGTTAGCTTCCATTTAAATTATGCCCTTGTTTCCTAATGCACATATTGCTGATATGCATTTCATTTACTTTATTACTGTAACGGAAATGCTACTGCTGCAAGGGAAGAATACCTCGTTTTCCACATTGACACGTTCCAGCGAATCGCCCAACGACTTCATCAGAGGCTGAGGGAAACTGGTTCTTTCACTCGAAGAACGAGGGAAGACAATCAGTGAATTGATGAAGATGAGAAAAGTAGAAAGTAGAAAAGTACACGTGCGTTATGTGTTGCACTACGGACACGTTGGGATACCTTCAGCAAGATGTGCGTTAGGAAACAATGACATTATTTAAATCACCAACGTGAGGAAGGTGTCATCTGATAACATAAAGCAAACTGATTGAATTTCCTAGAAAAATTGAACATTCATCGACGCCGGTTTTTCAACAAAATGCAAAATGTTTGGGCCTCGCAGAAGGGCAATCAAAAAAGGTGAGTATACCGCTGGAAGCCAATTGAATGGAGAACTCTGGAGGTAATTTGCAAAGCCTCCAGGAGTTGTATTTATTAACAGTTACCAATCCAACATTTAAAAAAATTCTAAATTTAAACATTTTTATCTGAATTTTTCGTGCAGAATTGTTTTACCAAATGTAAATAAGTTTCCTTACATCAAATTTAACGTTCTTTCAGCTGGCACAAACCAGATTTTTCTGCAATCAGTAATTCTGCAGTTTATAATTAATTTAGTGGACGTATGTCGAAAAATTAAAAAAAAACCAAAACCTGAAATTACTTCTTTACCGTTGAGATTTGGACAGGGGGATAGGAAGTTTTTTGTTCCATATGGTGAGGAGAAACACCTGAAATTTTCGACGCTTATCGCAAGTCACCCTGTATATTATATTTCAAATATAAAAAGGAACATTTATAATTTGACAGAGGATTTTATACTGAACTGATTGGAAATATTGGTAATTGGAATCCTTGGTTGAGAGACTTCAAAGCCGTACCCCAAAGAGGTCGTATCATTGTCTTGTTTGTTTTCAATGTCTAATTTTGATCCTGGCTCTTTTACTAAGTAGTATGTTTTTAATAATTTATAACGTCGGTGTGCTTTTTATATTTTCATTCTTGCGTAGTTTATCCATGAAACGTCCTAGATAACTCATAACGTCAGTGGTAAGAAGGGGGTTCATTTATGCTCATTGGGCGATAGATAGTTTTAGTAGGTTTATTTTCATGTCCAATTCGCCATACCGTTAATTCATTCTTGCGTTGTAAGTGCTGATGTTTATGGAACGGTCCGAATTACGTGTAAGAATCACTATATCATCAGCAAATGTTGAAAATATTTGAAACGTGTGGGAATATCTGCAATGTATATTGAAAATAGAAATAGGCCAAGTGTACATCCCTGCGGAACGCCCTCTCTAATGCGTGCTTAATGTGAAAATTCAGTTTGGAAAAATCGCTCCGTCAGATATGATCTCAGGTAGAGTAAGGTCTTTTCCAGTTTCCAAAGTCCGAAAGTTCGCTCGAAGGCCTGTTCCGAAATGAGAAAAACACCCAAGAATTCCTGTTTTTGTTCGTTGGAAGAGGTGATGTTGTCAGTAACAAGATTCAGCTGATGAGTTGTCGATTGAAATAAGCGAAATCCAAATTGATGCTTTGGAATAATCTTCGGCGGAGTTTTTTCATTAAGCTTTGGCAAGGATAAATAGGGTACTAATGGGCTGCTAACAACTACCAAAAACGTTTTATTTATAATTTTAATTATTGAGGACTTCCATTGTAATGAATGAATGAATAATAGTATTTATTTACATGGAATACAACAAACTCAAAATATGTTACAAAATACGTTACGGCATGGACAACAGTCCGTCAGCCGGAACATTGTAATGATTATGTTTACATCGTTCTATAGTTATGTTAAGTAAAATAAACATCTAAGGGGAAAATTTTGTAATATTTGTGTTGTCAATAACTAAATCGCATCCTGAGCTTTTCTGTGAGATAGTTGCCTAACAGTGTGTTGGACGGCTGATGGATGAAATGCTTTAAGAGGAGGAGAGAGTTGCAAACGGATATTCAAGTCG